AAAAAAGCCCACTTTCTCCAGTGCCCCCAACCCCCAAAATAAGGAGGTCAACCCTGAGCCAGTGAGATTTGAACAGCCGAACTGCAGAACTGCAGTCAGCTGAAGTAGCCTGCAGTGCTGCATTTAACCACTACGCCACCTCGGCTCGACCAAGCAACGGCCACAGAACCAGTAGTAAAAAAAAATTGAATTTCACCACTATGCTAAGCCATTATTTGGCGTAGATGCAAGCAACTTCTGAGGACTCAAAAGGCTCCTGTTTAAACTCCTTATTTTGGGGGTTGGGGGCACTGGAGAAAGTGGGCTTTTTTTAATCAAAGTTTTTTTAATTTTTATTTTCACATAAATATCCACGAGTATACCGTTACATTTTAACAAACAGTTATGTTATATCCAATATTATATCAATTCTTCTCACCGTCTACCCACAATAACTCTCATTTGCTCTTCTGCTTTCCATACACATTATACCCTGTTCCACAACGATACTACCTCCTCTCCCTCTCTCTTCCACCCTACCTCTTTTCTTCCCTCTGCCATCCCTCTCTTCTCTACTTCCCCTTCCTCTCTCCTGCTCCTCTCTCCTCTTCCCACTCCTTCTCTCTCTCCTACTCTTTTCCTCACCGAGGAGGTGGACTTTGAGGACGGGGCCTATGATTTATTTAGTGTGTAGACCACTCCCATTGTTATAAATACAAAAAGGGGAGGGGGTGGGAACTTCCACCACACACACCCATTACAGGGAAAAGTCACACAGTGCCCAAGAGCCTCAATCTATTGCTAGAGTTTGTTGCCATAAACAGCTTTGAAATGTTTTGGCATAGAAAACAGTATACAAATCAGAGGTGGTATTCAGCAGGTTCTGACCAGTTCTGGAGAACCGGTAGTGGACATTTTGAGTAGTTCGGCGAACCGGTAAATACGATATCTGACTGTCCCACCCCCATCTATTCTCTGCCTCCCAAGTCCCAGCTGATCTGGAGGAAATGGGGATTTTACAATATCTTTCTCCTGTCACACCCACCAAACCACGCCATGCCCACAGAACCGGTAGTAAAAAAAATGAATCACTGATACAAATAACAGGAATAAATAAAGATATTGTCCTTTCAATAAGAGCAGCCAGTGAATTCACGGTAAAATCACAATTTTGGAGAGACAAATAACTCTGCCCCTAATATTCTTATATACAGGAATCCAATGGAGGATGGGTACATTTGTAAGATGCGGCTGAACTTACTCTCCAGATTATCCAGCAGCAAATTGAGGAGAGTCAGGAACCCCCCAATCTGCAGAGATGAAAACTCTAATCCTTTGGCCCACCAGAATCCAGAGACATAATAATCCAGTAGTGCAGCTTCTTTCAGAGATGTCAGCCGATGCTTCAGATTCAAAAAATCTTCCAAACTCCTGTAGGTGAAAAATCAGAACATCAGAAAAGCACAAAAGCACAAAAGCACACCTGGGTCTGTGTAACTGTGCCAATTTACTTTCAAGGGGGCAAATTTTGCAAACCCAGGAATGAGCAGGAATTGGATGGGTCCTTCCAACCTTGGACCAAAACCAGTGCCCGAAACTGAACCATTTACCATATTTTTTGGAGTACAAGACACCCGGAACTATAAGACGCACTTAGCTTTTGGGGAGGAAAACAAGGGAAAAATATCTGCCTCCCAGCAATTTGCCTCCTTGCAACAAACAGCAAACAGTACAGACAATATACACTGTATTGTAGTATTACATTTCACACTATACTTGTACAGCTGCTGTTAAAATGGATGTGGCTTTCTGGAAGTATAGTTATTCTCTGCTTTTTAAAAGAAGATACAATGGCACTGGGCCTCTTCAGATCAAGCATTTATTTTAAAAAGCTTCTTCATTTTATTAAGCTGTCTAGAATAATAATAAAGCAAAAAAAATTAAGTCTAATAATTTAAACATTCTATAGGCATTTATAGTTATTGACTTACCTCCTTGCAGCAAACAGCCTGATTAGAAAGAAAAAAATCTGCTCCCAGCAATTTGCCTTGTGGAGCAAACAGCAAGTTTCACTTTCAATTTTACCATGGGCCTCCGGATCATCAGCTGTTTCAGGCTGCAGGGATTGCTATAGCCTACTGCAGCCTCAGCAAGCCCCATTTTCCCATTTGCTGCAAGGAGGCAAATTGCTGGGAGGCAGAGGCCAAAGGGTGGGGGCCGGTAGGTGGGTAGGGCTACAGTCAGTGTATAAGACGCACCCAAATTTTCACCCTCTTTTAGGGGGGGAAAAGGTGCGTCTTATACTCCAAAACTACGGTAAGTTTAAACTGCTTCTGGAGAACCAGATTTCCCCACATGGATTTTTGTACAAACAGGAACCTGAAATTTTTGGAAATATTGTAATACCATAGCTTGGCAGAGTCAATGTCTAAAACTAAATCTGCATGAGGAGGGCCACCATCTGTGGCCTGCTGAGGAATATGACTTTGTCCCTGGATCAGGAGTGAAGAATGACCCTGCGCCCCCCCCCCCCCAAACTCCCTCTCTCTTTAAAAGGGAAGAACACAAGAGCCCAAGCCACGGGGTTCCCCTCACACACAGACACACTCCATCTGCAAACCAGCTGGCTGCTCTCTGGACAGATGATGGCAAGGGCAAGATCTGTCGATGCCCCACCAAACTTACTTTTCAACTCCTGCAACGTCTTGTTCCAACATAATGCTGACCTCAGCAAGCGACAGAAATCTCCAAGCCATCGCTTCCTCATCTTTATTAATTTTGTCTTCATCCTACAGCAAAACAATAAATTGCAGCACATTCAATGGCAAGGATTTTTTTTTTAAAAATTAGTGCATAAAGAAAAAACAATGGCAACTGTCAACACCAATTTAACTGATTTACAACAGGAGCAGGAACAGACCAATAAGAGAAGAATAATTGGCTTTGCATTTGCAAATGAATTTTTTTTTAAAAAGACAATTCAATGCAGCAAAGCAGAAATTCTTATTTTTGCTAGGTCACCACTGGCCCTTGAGCACATTTCAAACACACCCTGTGGGCCTCGGCCAGACCTTTGGCAACTGCGGTTGCACCTCCTGCAATCAGCAAATGGGGATGGAAAGATATACATGAAAAATCACAAAAAGGGCCCCAAAAAGGCAAGTGTTCTGTTCTTGTAGTTTTGGTATTATTTTGGTAACTTTTAGGATAATTCTATCCATGCCTTTCAACATATCAGAATCAAAAACAGGCATGTGGTTTTGCAGCAGGTATCTATCTATCTATCTATCTATCTATCTATCTATCTATCTATCTATCTATCTATCTATCT